ATGGAGTTCCTTTGGTCCTTGAACCATATCCCTACCCTCTGCCATTATACCACACTCACTCTGGCAGCTGTACTGATTCTCCTTTGTTTCTGGGCTCACTTCAACTTGAAGTCTTCAAAGTACAGGTGTTCACTGTAAGGTCCAGGATGCCTTAGCATACACGTGTCTTTCCAGGATTCTCTCAACCTGGCACCTCAGATTTTTTGAGCTGTCTCTGCTCCTGATACCATCCTTTAGAGATTTTGGATCTGAAAAGGCTGGAGTAGGTAGGACAGTCCTTGCAATGGTGATGTGCAGAATTCCCTTCCCAAAGAAAGCTTCTCTGTGTTTCAGTCTAAAAAATGTCCTCGTTTTAAACATCACCTTATTCTGCCAGGAATTTGGGATCTACTCCTCAGGTTTTATGTTTGCTTATGTGATATTTTGTTGTTGTTCAGTCACACAGTCGAGTCCGACTCTTTGTGACCCCATGGACCAGATCACGCCAGGCCTTCTGGTCTTCCACCATCCTCTGATGTTTGCTCAACTTCATGTTCGTTGCATCTATGACACTGTCTAACCATCTCATCCTTTGCTGTCCCCGTCTTCTTTGACCATCAATCTTTCCCAGCATCAGGGTCTTCTCCAGTGAGTGCTCCCTTCTCATTTGATGGCCAAAGTATTTGAGCTTCAGCTTCAGTATCTGGCTTTCCAGGGTACAGTCAGCTTTGATTTCCTTTAGGATTAACTGATTTGATCTCCTTGCAGTCCAAGGGACTCTCAAGAGTTTTCTCCAGCACCATAATTCAAAAGAATCTATTCTTTGGTGCTCAGCCTTCCTTATGGTCCAACTCTTGCAGCCATACATTACTACTGAGAATACCATCGCTTTGACTATGCAGACTTTTGTTGGCAGGGTGATGTCTCTACTTCTTATTATGCTGTCTAGGTTTTCCATAGCTTTCCTCCCAAGGAGCAGGCATCTTTTAATTTCATGGCTGCAGTCACCATCTGCAATGATCTTGGATCCCCGGAACATGAATTCAGTCACTGCTTCCATGACTTCCCCTTCTATTTGCTAAGGAGTGATGGGGCCGGATGCCATGATCTTAGGTTGTTTTTTTTTATGTTGAGTTTCAAGCCAACTTTTGTGCTCTCCTCCTTCACCCTCAGCAGGAGGCTCTGTAAGTTGTCTTCACTTTCTGCCATTAAAGTGGTATCGTTTGCATATCGCAGGTTGTTGATCCTTTTCCCCAGCAATCTTAATTCCAGTTTGTGATTCATCCATGCCGGCATTTCACGTGACGTACTTTGCATATAAATTAAGTAAGCAGGGTGACAATATACATTCTTGTCGTACTCCTTTTCCTATGCTAAACCAATCAGTTGTTCCATATCTGGTTCTAACTGCCACTTCTTGACCTTTATACAGGTTTCTCAGGAGACATGTGAGGTGGTCTAGTACTCCCATCTCTTTAAGGACTTGCCAGAGTTTGTTGTGACGTACACAATCAAAGGCTTTAGCATAGTCAATGAAGCAGAAGTAGATGTTTTTCTGGTACTCCCTTGCTTTCTCCATAATCCAGCAAATGTTGGCAATTTCCTCTCTTGTTCCTCTTTGAAACCCAGCTTGTACTTCTGGCAGTACTCTATCCACATATTGCTGAAGTCTAGCTTGTACGATTTTGACCATGACCTTGCTAGTGTGTGAAATGAGTGCAATTGTGCGATAGCTTGAACATTCCTTGGCATTGCCCTTCTTTGGGATTGGAATGTAAACTGACCTTTTCCAATCCTGTGGCCACTGTTGTGTTTTCTAAATTTGCTGGTGTATGGAGTGCAGCACTTCAACAGCATCATCTTTTAGCACTTTGAATAGCTCAGCTATACCGTCATCTCCACTAGCTTTGTTGTTAGTAATGCTTTCTAAGGCCCATTTGACTTCACAGTCCAGGATGTCTGGCTCAAGGTCAGTGATCACACCGTTGTGGTTGTCAATTTGTGGTTGTCAAGGACATGTAGATCCTTCTTGTATAGTTCTTCTGTGTATGCTTGCCACCTCTTCCTAATCTCTTCTGCTTCTGTTTTTGGTGTAGTGGTTAAGTGCACAGACTCTAATCTGGGAGAACCAGGTTTGATTCCCCACTCCTCCACTTGCACCTGCTGGATGACCTTGGGCAAGCCATTGTTCTGACAGCTGTCCTTGAAAGGGAAGCTCTTGAAAGAGCTCTCTCAGCCCCACCTACCTCACAGGGTGTCTGTTGTGGGGAGGGGAAGGGAAAGGAGTGTGTAAGCCGCTCTGAGACTCCTTTGGGTAGTGAAGGGCGGGGTATAAATCCAATCTTCTTCTTCTTCTTTGTCCTTTATCATGGCCAGCTTTGCACAAAATGTTCCCTTGAATTCTTCAATTTTCTTGAAGAGATCTCTAGTCCTTCCCATTCTATTGTTTTCCTCTATTACTTTGCATTAATCATTTTCTTGGTATGTGTCTTTAATGTATTATAGTCAGGTAAAAGGCTTTAAATGATTGCTCTCAAAGTGATGTTTCACTATATCTAATAGTAACCCAGCCAGCGCCTGTGTGGACTTTGAAACCTGATAAGAGTCTTCTATTCAGACTAGTTGCCCAAGTATGTAGAAAAATATAACCTGGTAAATTAACCATGGCGGTGTCTGTAGGAGAAATGAGGGGTGCAGCAGGAACCTTTTCATGCACTCCCATTCCCACTGTGTTCATTTTAGGGAGGGAGTGAAGCTGGCTTCTCAATTGTATCAAGATAGACAGAGACAGTTGTTCTAAACCAAAACTCAGTTTATTCTATTACACACTCTTAAGTCAGAAAACACTTTTGTAGCATTTCAATATTCAACATAGAATATTTCAACACAACTCCAATATCTAAATAGCGCACTTAAAGTTCTATAAAGGACATCCTTGGTTGCTCTGTCAAGACCCATAACAGAAGGGTGGTTGGCCAGATCAGCCAGGAAATAAATTCAGACATTAAGTACCCTTTTCCAACCATAGGGCTAATGTAACAGTCAAGTCTGTGACGAGCATTTGACATACATGTGACTTACACGACAAAGCTCAGTCCATTCTTTCTACCTCCGGGGTCAGGGAAGTCAAGGTAAACTGGGTTAAGCTAGGTTGACTCAGAGAGTCAAGGCTGACTAAGAGTCCCAGGAAGCTAGCTTCAGATACTCTATTTAGAATCTAACATATACATTTCCCAAAGGGCAAAAGTCATGTAAGGCAGAAGTCATGTACACTGTTATCCTGAAGGTCACAGCACTTAGCAGAGTCCTGAAGCCACCTGGGAAACAGAACCATAGATTCAACTATAGAGGCTAATTGCTATAGAAATTAAAGTATCATAGGTTTAGCAGAGGACCGGCTCAAACCAGCCCTAATTTCGCAACAGGGGACCTTTAAAAGCCTGGTCTGAGGAGGCCCAAATATTCTTCTGAGGCCATGAAATGCTGAGAACAACTGTCAGTAAAACTAAGGAAGGGGAAATCAGCTGCTCAAGCCCCTGAGAGTTTAAAAGATTACGCAGGATGGGGTGACGCCCCTCCCACAGTTTGTAATTAGTCTTGAGCCTCCAGGTTATAATATGCCCTTGGGATGTATGTCCACTGAATGCTACAGGTTGTTTCCTGGCGTCCGGGTTCAATCAGTTTTCCTTTTTTAAAAATTCACAGGTCTGCTTTACTAAGAGGAAGAGATGCCATGGTTGGAATATCACCACTGTTGTTATAAACCCATTTCCCATTAGGTGCCATTGGACGTGAATACTTGTAATTGGCAAGCATGGAGGGTGCGTTACCCCCGCGCACGCACGTATTGTTCTTTCACGCCATTCCCCCAAGGATGCGGACCGCTTCCCGTTGGCCCGCAGTTTGTTTTTGTACGCTCTTCCTGCTTTCGCGGGGGTGGAGTCTGCCGCTGGTTCTCCAGGCTCCGCTCCAAACAAAAGCGAACGTGAGGCGCTTGGAAGAGGCCGGGACGACTTCGCCACTGCCCCGTCCCGTATGGTCGGCAGCCGGGGCCATGCCGGTAACCTACAAAGCTCAGGCCGTTCGTTGCCTGTGGTCCGACATCCGTTGGGTTCCGCAACCAGCAGGGGCTTTGGAAGGCTGCCAGCCGCTGCTGAAAACTGGGGCGTTGCAGCTGCATTTAGGAAAGACGAGCTTGTCCCTGCCTGACAGACAAGCACCGCGCCGTGTAGGCAGCAACAGGTTTACAGTGTTTGCTGTTCCCAGGCACGAAAGGAAAACACGCGTGTGGGGGGCTTTCTTGGGCGAGAAAGGAGCTGGAAGCACATGGGAGGATTTTTCTAGGAAATCCCTGGGAAAAGAAAATACCATTTTAAAAAAAAACAACCCAAAGTTTAAAGGTTTTCCTGTCCAAAGCTCCCCGCCCCGCGTCACAGAACAAAGGGTCATAAAGCCGCGCAGCGTGCCCCAGGCCGCCGCTGCCCGCGCGTCCAGTCAGTCAGGAGCCGCGCGTTCAAACAAAAGGGCTTCCTGCCCAGAGCTGCCCGCCAACGCGCCAGCCAACTCGCCCCCAGCAGCCGGCTGGCGAATCCCAGCCACATTTGCAGGCGCGGCGGCGGCGGGTTTCGCGCTGCCTGGAGCGCGCTCTTTGGCACACGTCCCCGCCCTCCTGCAGCTCTCGCCTAGGAGGACTCGCTGCCTTTCCTGGCCGCAGAGCTCGGAGCCAGTCACAGGCGGTGACGCTCCTCTTCCCCGCGCCAGGAGGGAGAGGGAGGGGGCGCCGCTCCGGCGAGTGGGCCGAGCCGAGCCAGGGCTGCTGCCTGCTCCGCGTCGCGAGGCTCCGGCCAGGAGCATTCCCAGGCGCGCCGGCTGGAAGGCGACGTTGGGCGCGGAGGGAGGGAGGGAGGGCTGGGGGGCGCCCAGGATCGCGCTCAGACTGAGCCTCACGCTCCAGGTTGGCTCGCTGCGATGGCACGGCGGATGGAGCTGCTCCACCGGCCGGGGTGCTTGCCTGACAGGCTGGCTGAAGGTGACGGTATGTGGCTCTGAGCTCTCCCTTTCTGCAAAAAGAGATGCCTCTCTGGGGGATGCATCGCTGAAAACGGATCGTTTGGTTTGCGCTACAAGGGCTGCACATCAGCCTTCTCCTTTATTTTGCTTTTCTCGCTCGGATTTGGGTGAGCTGCTTTCTAGGGCCCATTAAGACCTCGTTAGGAGAATGCAAACGGCAAGATACGCCAGGAAACCGGCAGATAGGGGAGGGCGGGGTATAAATACAATACAATGAAATGAATAAATAAGATAGCAAGAGGCATGAATCAACTTTAATTTTCACCAGGCTCCTTGTTATTATTTGCTGTGTCTTTGCGGATCTCGTTTAAGCTGTGTGAGGAAAGGGTGAGCGAGAGACAGGCAGACAGGCACTCCGCATTTCCTGGATCCTCGGAAAGGATTGTATAGTCTTTCTAACCCATCGTAATGCAACAATTAATTAAGTAGCATCGCAAATGTGTGGCGTGCAGCGGGGGAGGGGGGGGCTTTGAGAGAAAGAACCAGCCGGAATGTGTTTGTTAAGGGAGATCTAGAACTGTGTCACTTCCAATCATGCTTTCACCTCATTCTCTTCCCGCAATCCTGATTAATCCACTTCACTGCCTGGGCAGTACACCAGGACTGCAAGCTGCCCTGAGCATATTCTCTTCTGTAAACACATCTTCTCTGGTCTTTTCCCTTCCTAAGCCTAAACCACACGGAAAGCTTAATTTTATTTTTGTGGATTTTTCATCCTTCGCTCTATTTCTTTGTGGCATGCCAGGATGCTAAGTGATTTGGCACCATTCTCTCAAAGGCTTTTTATTGTTTCAAAATAGTGTTAAATATGAGGCTTGAAAGCCTTCATTCTTCCATTAATGTTTTATTAGAAAGTGTCTTGACCTCCGAAAACCGCCAAACCATCACACTATTACACAACAAACATTGCCTTGCATTATGGTTGGATAGCAATCCTTAGGGAATGTGGACTGGAACAGGGATGAAAATAAGGTTTTATGCATACTGGTAAAATCTACTCAGTGTAATAGTTTTATAGGCCTAAAAAATCCTCCAAGGAAGTAAAAATTGATTTTGGGAGAGGTGCAGTTACGGATATTGGCAAGAAGGCTGAGAGTCACATCCCCTTGTTTTGATCCAACTGTGTATGCTTTTTGGGGTTTTTTAAAATTAATTTTAAAGACTTGTACAAAATATTTTTTTCATTGTCCCATTATCCTTTCCCTGAGCATCTATGATTCTGTCCCCCTTCCCTCCTTAACCCCAACACTTAAATACTTGCAGCACCCCCCCACACACACATTCCCTTCTGAATGATTTCTTCACATATGTTCCCTTGTGGCCCACCCCTTTGCTCCCTCTCCTGAAAGGTAGACTGCAAGTTCCTTAGGGCAGGGACCTGTCTTTTGTTTAGGTTGCTCTCTGAAGTGCCATCCACATGGTTGATGATGCATAGAATAGTGCTGGTTCCTACAAATCTGTTCCATTAATGGCAGAACATGCAGCAAAAAGCTCCACCATTTGCAGAACAGAGCTGTGGGTTCCAACCCACTGCTTATTTACTTAAATACTTATACCCTGCTTAGCGAAAGCAGCTTACATCATCATTCTCCCCTCCTCCCTTTAATCCTCAGAGCAACCCTGTGATGGGTTAGCCTGAGAGGGAGAATGATTGGCCTAAAGTCACCTGGCAGGCTTTCATGGTAGAGGGTCGGCTTGAACCCCCATCTTCCAGATCCTACTCCAGCACTCTAACCACTGCACCACACTGGCATGTGTATATGTATACTGTGCTCTCAGGGTTCAAATTATCTTTACTCTTGTAAGATGGTGCTTGATTGTGACTGGATCATGCCCATTAATTATTTAGTATTTATGCAGCCACATTTATTCCCTGCTATGCAATCCTATCTATACCATATTAAACTTCTTAAACTCCATAGGACTGTCCTACCCCATGGATATACGTGTGGGTGGGAATCCTTATTTGAAAGGTCTGCTGGCACACTGTGTGTGGGGGTGTCACTGGAAGACTTCTTTCATCCCCCCCCCCCGAACCTGGAGCCTGTTGGGCATGTTGAGCATCATGTGCATGTTGAGCATTTAGGAGCTCAGGAGAGGGAGTTTTACAGAAGCAGGGGATCAGCTCACTAATTTGCTGGTTTTGATACATTCTCTGTCCATACTTCAGGTGCTGAGTGGTGATTTTCTCAGTTGCTGTGAATGGTTATCTATGCAGAGCACAGCTATTAGGACTGGCCATCTAATTAAAGAAATTGTGGTTAGTTAAACATATTTGTTTATAAATTGATTAATCAGTTAATGTTTGCATTGAATAAAAACAATTGTACTGATGCAAAAAGGAAAATATGTTCTTTGTTTTTTTTAGATTATATGTATGTATGTTGTAACCGACATCATCTTAGGGGGGGAAAAGCATTCCCCGTTGTGTATCAGAGAAGGGTGGAGGGATGCCTCTTGTAAGACAGTGCCAGCTGTCTGCATTTTTCATAACTATGTGTTTTCAAAATAATTATAAGAAATGCTTCTTGACTAATCAAGAAATGCCTTTATAGTCTATAACAATTTTGTGATTAAAGAATGGTCACTCAGTTCAGGAGTGTAGCCCTGCCCTAGTAGCTTGATGGCATGTTTTAACTGGTGTATAGTTAGGGAATCCTGGGAACTGTAGTTTTGTTGGGAGAATGAGAGAGACTAGCAAAGCCAGAGACAAGATTCCTCCCCAAGGGGAGAATGACCGAAGCAATTGAGCATAACTTGCATATGGACATACATGTTAAATTGTTTGCAGAGTAATGGGCCTACACATATGGTTGTTTCTTGGTTTCCAGTTATGGGAATCAGCTCTGTCACTGGCATATACTTAGTGAAGTTAATTCAGCCCTACAGGAAAGCAAGATTATATAGCATTTGCAGCTGCCCTGGTTTTACCTCAAAAGAAAGTAATCTCATGTAAACAGAAGGCCCAGGGTAATGGAAGTCTGCAGAGCATGCACAGTGGAGTTTGCCAGAATTCCTAAGTCATCCTGTTATGAGAGAAAATCCAGGGAGGCCTTGGTAGCAGAAGTTAAACACGGATTTCAGAAAAGCTGTGCATTTTTCTTTCACCAAAGTTGCAAATCCTAAACCATTTTATTGAGTTCAGAGCAAACTCCATTGAGCTCAGGCAGAAATCATACCTGCATTGTGAAAAACAGAAAGGTTTGAAATGTGACTTTAATTGATTTACCTGCATGGTCAATTGTAATCAGTTGATTCAGGTGTTTGATCACTTTAAGAAGCATATGCAAATTCAGTCTGTAATTTACTTTGGAATAAACATGTTTAGTATCCTGCTATAAGATGCAGGACGTATGGAGCCATTGCATCAAAAATATGTTCTGTAGCTATCTTGTTTTTTTACTCTGGAAAGTACAATATTCATTTGCAGCAGTGCAGTTTCCTTCAGTAATGGCCTTTTCTTCAGGACAACGGAAAACTTTATAATTTTTAAAGATCTTTCTTTGGCCTCTGATTATACTATGTGCTTATTGTGGTTCATAGAATGTATAGTCATTTTCTTTGGCAAATGAGCATTTCCCATTTAAATTGTATAAAATATCCCACATCACTTTAAATTTTAAAAAGAGAGAGAAAAGGATATCTTCTGAGTATTAGAAAATGAACTGATTCAGATACTGCAAGTTCAAATTTCCAGTGTCAAATTATAATATTAAATTATAATTTGAATCACTTATGAAAGTTGCAGCCATATGGCCCAGTTAGAACAAGAATGCTATTTGCTGGGCACAGAACCAGACTGCTGTCTAGGTATGATTGGTGAAGTGTGCAAAAAAATAGGTACTTTTTGCAGAATGCTGATGAAAGTGGTAAAATGAGTCGGCGGCATTTAAAAAGCCAAATTCAGGGATCCCAGTTTTCCTTCTGCCCAAAAGGATGAGATGTTATAAATTGTAGTACTGTAATCAAGATTGATTATGCAAGAGGACTCTTGTTTAAAGTATACAATACTATTCTGAGGATGCAGTTTAACAACTGGACTCTGCCGCTAAAGCTGGGTGCAAGTTTATTAGAACTCCACAAGATGTGGCTTTTCAAAAGGGTGTCAGATGCCTATATTGTATGTCTCTGACAATTTAGTTATCTTTCCCCTATGATAGAAATGGGCCATGGAGGAAGGTGTCAGCTTTTGGAAGCTAGGCAGGGTTGATACCGTGTTTCCCCGAAAATAAGACACTGTCTTATATTTATTTTTTCTCAAGAAGACACACTAGGGCTTATACCACAAATGCATAGAAATCCTGCTAGGGCTTATTTTTGGGGTAGGTCTTATTTTCGGGGAAACAGGGTACTTGGATGGAGGACCACCAAGGAAGACTCTGCAGAGGAGGGCAACAGCAAACCACCTCTGATTCTCACTTGCCTTGAAAGCCCCTTGCTGGAGTTGCTAGAGGTTGGTGGCAACTTGATGGCACTTATGGGCTGAATGAAGACAACTGGGGTCAGAAGAGAGAGTGAAGGTAGGTGGAACAGTTTGCAGGCTCAGGTTATAGGATTTTTAAAATAAGGTTTCCTAAACTGACAGGAAAATGTGACAGAATAGAATCAGTTGCTAGTGTATATTCCGCTGGAGTCTGGAGGATGAGTTTGATAACTTCATTTCTGTTCAGCAGCTGATGCATTGGGCCTGCCTGGATGCAGATCGCTAGTATATCATTTCCCTTTTCCTCAGGTTTGAACACTTGTTATTATGTTCCTTATGGTCCTGCCTTTATTAGTAATTCATAAAATGTATGTGCCTTTTTTCCAGAGACCTGCTTGAAGTGGCTCAAAAACTAAAAACAATAAATAGAACAACACAAGAACTGTCAATATTGAAACAAGCCATAAAAGCAACAAATAAAACAAAATAAATCAGTGCCTGAAAACATCCATGAAATAATCCTCATGCTAGATGAAGACCAG